GTAATGTACAAAATACGAAGTCTATTAGTTTTAGAACAAATTAGAAACTCAATTTACTGATATTGACAAACTAGAATATAAAGGTCTTATCTTTTATATTTGCTAAGATATCACTCGTACTGAATCAAACATAGTGGCATTCTACCCATAGCTTTCCATTTTTGGAAACGCTCCCTTATATACACTTACTTCTATATATGACATGTATAACTAATCAAAATCTCAGAATGTCCCCCTAGTGGCTTTCTCAGGCATGTTAATGGACTTGGACACCATTTCTTTCTTTGGAACAGATATTTGAACGAGGTAGGGTGTGTCTTTAATCTGCTCGAAATTTAATATTTTTTTAGACTAAAATACATCTTAGCTACTAAGCTTGATAAATTATAGTGGAATTCTGTGGTATTAATGTAGTAATTTATGATTTTTTAGTTATTCAAATGTATATATAAAACCTAAAAAATATTATTTTGTTTCATATCCTCCATATGCAAAATTTTTAAAGGCTTAGCAGCCTATGTCAAGCAGCAACTGAGTACAGAGGTCGTAACTAGAAGAGATAATTGTTTGCTTTACTTCTTTATTTACTGTTCTATGTTTTAAGTAAAACAAGTTTAAGAACTTATTTCAAAATAGCAGTAATCTATATACATATATAATGTATAATAATTGAAACTAGCAGAGACCCCCAAAACATTTCCGGCCAAATTAGTATCTTTATCGTAATAGTACTTCTTTAAATATAACATTTCTAGTACAATACAAACGAATTGTAATCGTTGACAATGAAATATTTAAATCCACTTGGATATAGGCTGTTCTTTATAAAACTTTAACTTATGTTAGGCCTAAATTTGATAAAGAGATTAACACTGTAACCTGTTTAAGTTTTTTTTTACTATAGTTTAGTTAGGACTAAACATTACTGTACTTAATACTATCGATAAATAAACTTATAATGTTATTCCACGACCTAAACATCAAACCTTTTTTAAAAACTTTGATAAGTTTTTATTATTCTGTTTTACAAAATGGTTAGTAAAGTATATTTACATTCCCCTTTTGTTGTTACTTCTTGTTTCATACAGAAATTGTAGTGGCTTGATCACTGAGCTTTGCAGCTGTCTGCCGCAGGCAGACTGTTTGTCATCGAGTGAATAATTCGCATGGGTGGTTTTTCTTCGGAAACATTCTACCTACACACGCATATGCAGCAGGTTCTCTGTCAGAAAGCGTAACAGTCGTACATACAAACAAGCAGAATAATAGTACAAATGTGACTGTATTTTACAAAATACTAGTCTACTAAAACACAGCCAAGACAAGTTACTTTGTACAGACCAAAGGTTAGTTTTATGTTATATGATATGGTAACATGAGTGCACGTGAGCCACATTATTGTAACTTCTGTATTGTTAGCCTGGCCTACGTCAATATCATAAAATAATAAATATATATAAATGTATAATTTTATGAGATTTAAGCTATTTAGTCTAAACACTTATGTTGTTGTGTTATAATCTGTGTTCATTCTAGAATGGAAGAGGCATAATTTATATTTATTTCCTAATTTTATTAATTACTGAAAATAACAGATAAAATATAAAGTTTCTTCTTAAGAGATGTTTGATAACTATCTGGACATTATAAAGATTTTGCATGTGAAATATGAAAAGTTTCTGATGCATAAAAGCATTTTTAATCTTAAAATGAAAATTGCTAATTTAATAGTTATAGCATGAAAATTATAACAAGCAAAAAATGGTTACAAGGTCAGTCCCAGGGACCAAGCTCGTGTTGAAAGAGTTAAAAGGCATTATTATTTCTCAGCTAAAAACATTAATAGTTTGTAATAACAATGATGCTTTTATGGATAATTTCATATATTCATAAATAAACTAAAATATAATGGCTATAAATATTGGCAATTAAGAAAATTATTTACACTGTTAAATGAAAGTTTGATATGGAAAAGTTGCTAGTTACTTTTAAGTAGCTAAATTTAAAACTATAATTTTATTCAGTATACCGGGAAGGAAAGTAGCTGGGCTTGTCTCAGCTTTCCCATGTTGTAGTTCTATTTACGATCATTTTATTTAAGATCTTTAATCATTTTATTTCTTTTGTAAGGATGGAGGTTGGGAGTTGCATATAGAAGAAATGTTAAGGTGGTTTCATTTATACTTTAGGAATTATAAGAACTTTTAAGGGTAACTGCCTTCCCATGACTAGCTGCAGACAGTGAAAGACAGGAGGATTTGAGACGTTGTGGGTGTAAGCATTCAAATTTATACCATAATTGATTTTCCATGCTTGCTGGCTAGTTTAACATCAGCATTTGGATTTTGTCTGGTAGATGGGATATCCCCAATGCATTTGGGAGCTATTTCCACAGGCATTATCCATTTTTTGTTTGTTAAGCACAAAGCTACACAATAGGCTAACTTCAGTAAAAATAAAACATCTAAAATTACATTAGCTGAAGTACTTGTAACAGGACATTTTGCAGTCACATTGTTTTTACATTAACTTGACACAAAACATCTAATGGGCTCCCATTATAATTAAGTGAATTTTATGTGCAGCAAGTGTCCAAAGTACACCAATAAAATCACAAGTAAATAGATGAGAAAATGTTAAAGTTGAAGCTATCAAGTTAATCAATTTTGATTTTTTTTTAATTGTGCTATTTACACATCCTTCTTTCATATTCATTAAGAATAAATTCCAAGGAGAAAAATTTTAGGATCCCTTGACAGAAGCTACACCCATCTTCTACGCTTAGATTTCAGATTTACAAGACACGTGTACGTATTTGATATATGTTTATAACCAACAGAATAAGCTCATTTTAAACTATACTTTAGCAATGGTTACTTTAAAATTGGTGTGCAGTATTTGTTAACAAGTGCATCAAACAGGTCTTAGCATTGTTACAGCTTTTGTTTTCACTAGCATTTAGCATTGTTTCTCATTTAGACACACTAATTAAGTAGACAGTTTAAATTGTATTTAGATTTTACTTTTATGCTTTAGTTAATTGTTTTAAAATGTATATTTGAAAGGTTTAATCATTTTTTAAATAAAATCCAAACTTCACCTCCGTTTGAAAGACTTAAAGTAGTACACAATTGCAAAAACATTTTTCTGAAGACTAAAGTGTCTCTACCAAATACATTGTAATAATGTCCATGGACACCCGTTGCATGTGTTAAGAATAATAATAATAGTAAAGGAAAAGAAAGGAAAGGCATGTAAAACATTAAAAATAAACTATGTGAAAATGTAAAGATGTGCAATTATGAATGTAACAAAAAGAGTATTCGACATAAAATTAAAAGGTATGTACATTTTTCTATTTCTTAATTTTAAACATTTCTTAGCACTATACATATTGATGATAATTAGCTAGTTGAAAGCTACCTGATTAAAATCATCAAACAAGCAAAACTGTTATGGTTATAAATGGACTAATATATATATATGTTTGTCATACTTACAAACTATCTGGATCACACAAAATAAGATCAAAACAACCAGAAGACAAAATCAATTACCTTTTAGGTCCTGATCAAAATCTGGACGAACGAAAAATTCCCCATTCTCAACCATGAACATGTCTAATGTTGTTTCCACCATCTCTCTGAACTTTACAAAATCTTCTTCAAAATCCTATTAATAAGTGTATGTTTATAAATATTACTGTGGAGATCATCACAGTATTTCAGTCATAATTTTCATGATAACTATTTAATTCACCAAAAAAGCTAGAAGGTGTGTGTGTGTGTCTTTATACAGTGCACCCGTAACACAATTTGAGTCTTACTTCCACCAAAACTTCTAAAGACCAGGGCACACTACAAAATGACCCACCTTATGATTTGTGTCCCAGTGTTTGATGTTTGTATTGTGGCAGCAATTTATTATTTTTTATGAATTTACATTTACTTAGATTTCATCTAAGGTTTGGATAAGATTTGCATTATCCTTCCTTTTGATGTATTCTCTTTGTTAATTTTTAACTTTCATAAATAATTAGTAATATTGAATATTGTGGGGTGTATTAATTTATGTACATGCCGATTTCATTATATATATATATTATAATAATAAAATGGCGTGCGTGTGTGTGTGTAACCACCATAACTCCAAGAGGAAAGAACCTAGAAACCTGAAATTTTGCACCCTTACTAAGTAGACTCTGAGGGTATTCACATGGGTATTATTACTTATCTATGTGTATGTGCCCATGTGCATCTTTTAGGCGAAATTTGTTTCTAGCCAGTAGATTTTTCATGTTGACTCAAGTATTTTTAGCCATGTGGTGGTAGATTCAATACATCTAGTATTGTGATAGGTTTAAGATTAGCAATGTCATATTACAACTTGTCTTTCTGTTACCATGAAAAACAATAATTGATGATTGTCCTGCATGTTTTAACTCTATATACTATAGTACGTATATCGGTAATACTTTATCATTTTTGTTGATTCAGAACATAAAAAAGACTTTTGATCAATAGATTAAAGCAACAATGAAATTAAAGTAGTTCTGTGGTCAGTCATTTACCAAAATTATGGTTGCTTGTTATCAGATTGTGTGTAGTTTTACAGCCATTTACCAAAATTATGGTTGCTTGTTATCAGATTGTGTGTAGTTTTACTGCCATTTACCAAAATTATGGTTGCTTGTTATCAGATTGCATGTAGTTTCAATGCTTCAGATGATATTTCACTGCACTATATCTTTTAATAAAGTAGCCTAGCATATAAACTCATTAGGCCTACTAGAGCATATGTATGAAAAATGGCTATGAAGTAAACTGTTATGGGAGTCCAGTGAAAAGCAGTGGTAACTAGCTATTTATGTTGTGGTTTTATTGCATTATAAATAATAAATTTACCTTGAAAAATAAAATTGGAATCCAAAAAGTCCCAAGGTTATTATGCTGTGTGTTTGAAATATCTGTGTTTCAGATATGATGACTTCTATAAGCTATTAATTTTTACTAATGCAATGTCAGAGTTGGCCAGTATAATGCTATCAGCATAGAAAGGTTTACTAAAATTGTGGAATTTTTAATGAAAACCTTGTAGTCCAAGACAGTGTTTCACAACCCAAAAGCTACTGTACCACAGTAAATCTTTTGAATACTTCACTATGTCCTGGTAGCATTAATTACTATATATTCATACAATATTTCACGCCCCGGAGGTTGGGAAACACTGGTCTAAGAAATGAAATGCTTTTTTAACATTAAGTAGACTGGATTAACATTCTAGTTTTTATTAAGTAATCCAAAGTTACCCACCCACCAACAGGACCTGTTGTAACAGTACCTAATTAAAGTGGTTAAACCTGTAATGGCAAAGTTAAATAATGGCAGTCTTCATTCAAAAACAACTGTGTTTTGTCACTGTGGTCAGATGCAATGTCATGTGTTATTTCTTGTTGAAATTTAACAAGTTGTTAGATTTATTATTTTATTCTGAAAAAGAAATTAATACACGAAACCAGTTACAGAAAATTTACACTCTCAAAAATATTTTACTTTCTTATTTTCTTAACATTAGAATAACCTAAACACTTTGTTCAATGATTATGATGAATAAAAAAAAAGGGTTTCGTCACACTTACAAACTATTCAATATTTAAATAATTAGTTTGTGGGTGAACACATTATAACTTATAATAATGGGAACAAAAATTCCATTTTGAGATAAGAATTTGTCAAGTGTCAAATTGCAGCTTAATTTTGTAACAAAGCATTACATATGATCAACAAGATATTCCACTTTCAATTCTACCACACAGTTAAATTCACTGCTGTTAGTTTGAAATTTCTCAGATTCCTCTTACCAATATTGGAGCAAAATTCAAGAGAGTAAAACACTTCAAACTGAAAGGTTTATTTTTTGTACAAAGTTAAAATACTGAAAAGTCATTTAAAGTACAGGTTATTTTACATTAACTTCTAGATCAGACTATCAGGTTTGCTGTAAATATACTTGTAGACCAAAACATTGTACATTTGCTGTTATGTTAAACTTATATTAAAGTTTTCTTCATTACCCATTCAAGCCATCTCCAAGCATTATTTGATCACTTTTTAAGTACACTTCTGCATCATTATATAACTTTTTGTTAAAGCACTTTGCTATTGTATAATTTTATGAATCAATTTTCCAATGAACCATTTAAATATTTCCCAAAAAATAATGAGATTTTAGTTAAGAGTCAGTAATGTCCTTTGCACACTGAAAATTATTACATAAAAACATTAACGATGCAAAAAATTAAGCAAAATAAACAGTTAATCTGTAACTTGTTAAACATTTCATTGTTAAAAAGTCTGCTTATCAAAAAGGAAATTTATTTTTAGAACTAAACTAGTATACTAAGTTTGTAGAAACAAATGATTCAAAATAACAAGTAATAATGTAAAACAAAGTTTAGAACAATCTACATACACTTTACCTTGAAAGGGCAACAGTACAATTCTCTGAATACTGCCATACATTTTCCTTCTTGACTCTCAAGCTGATTTTGAATAGCCGGAAGATGATTAAGAAAGAGATAGATCTTGTAGCAATCCTAGCGCAATCCAAAACAGATACTATGATCAACAAATCATCCAAATATGGAGTTTAGAAATTTTATAGTTTCACAAATGCTAATTAAAATTTCCTCTGAATTTAATGGAAATATGAATAGTAGCCCCCAAAACTAATATTAATTGAGCACTCACAGATACTACGAGTTCATTCAATAAAAATTATAAAAATATGCTCACATAATGAACTGAACACCCTGTATGACTAGCATACTTCAAAAACATTATTTGTGAGAAGTATAGACTTATTAATTATCAATCTTGGTATGAGTACAGAAAATCACAGGAGATTTCATGCAGTTCTTAAATTGGTTTTCAAATATAGTGCATTTGTATAACCAGGTAAAAATCCAGTTACAGAAATGGATGATACAATGATTAGGTTCTATAATTGAAAATATGCTTTTTTCTAAATATAATGCAACTGAAACTTGCACAAAACATACAACACTTTCATAACCTTAGAAAAAATAAAAATGTAAAAGTAAGAACATTACATAACTATGCTACATATTTCATTCTAAAACAAAAACTTTCCACTCCAATAAACATATATCAGCATACAGTGAAACTGGGCAAAAAGGAACTAATGGCTGTATAAGTAACAACTATTTTTACCTGTAGGGTTGCCTTTTTTTGCTGCAGCTTTCTTGCAAGTCGTTGAAGATCTGGAATTTTACGAAGGTGATCTTCATGTAGTGCCTGACGTAGTTCAGTGTTATTGACAAATGTTTCCACAATGTTTAATCGCTCCTCTTTAACAGTAAAAAAATAGAAATATATTTATATATAAAAGGGGCAGATCAAAACTGACAGCACTGTATAAGCTTGAAAAACAGTTAAAAGTTCCAATCACACTAAATTGCCAAGATTCATAACATTCACCCAAATACTCTTGCAATAGTCAATAATTCTACATACTGTTTTGCTCTCAACATTGAACTTAACAAGGGATGTGTTCAGTTACATACATGTTGGACAAAATGGGAGATTTTCTATATTCAGTTTATAGTTTCCATCTCTCTGAATTACAAATTATAATCTGTAATTCACAGAACAAATTGAAATTAAGGTTCTTAGAACAAATAAATTATTTTGTTATAAATATAAGTAGTTTGTCATATTAAAATTATGTAAGTTTTATACTATAAGCTAAAAGTTTAGAGGCAAACACAAAGTTATGGAAAACATTAATGCTATACCAAACTTACCCGTTGAAGTTACATATGTGAAAAATAATACTGAAATTAGTATAAAAAATGCAAACATGCAATTTATTTAAATTCAAACATTGTTTTCATCAAAGTAACAACACATTGACTTTATAATAACCTTGCAAGTCTAGGAATTCTAGAAATGATATGTCAAAATAGCCTGATGTTAATAAATTGCAAGATATATTAAAGTATTGGCATAACTTGTTGAATTACATGAAATCATTTGCCTCAAATTACTGTTCTGTTCATCCCACAAGAAGTGTGAAATCTGGGAAATGTGTTAGCCAAACCATGCTTAAACCTATGGATATGGGTAGTTAGAAGTGCAGATGTCATGACCAGTGTTCCCTCTAAGCTGCACAGCCATACTTCATTATTCCAGCATATGAAAAAATTCATTCAGCACATGGATTGAAATATTTAGAGGGAACATTAGTCATTACCATTTAACAGTTAACACTCAAAATTCAATTAGACAACTTTATTATTGATTTATGTAAATAAAAATAGCATCAAAACATAATCAATAAATTAAACATGTCTATAATTTTTAATTTCAAAGTGAAATATTTAAATAAACTGTCAATATTCTCTTCTATGTATCACCTAACAACTGTCTGTTCCAAATTGCTCATTTAAACATTCCTTCCACCCTTATTTGAGCTTCTGAGTTTTGTTACAAATTACGATGTTACATTACAGAAAATTCTGAGTCATAACCAAAACATATAGTCTCCAGTCAATTTTACTTATAGTGATATAAACCATAAAGTCAAGCCCATATACCACACCTTTCTATCACATACTGTCTTTCAAAAAATCACTAACGTTTGCTGTCACATTATTCATAACCAACAGAAATAGAAGATTTAACTTACTGAATGACATACAATGCTAGCTCATTCTGATGGCAGCTTTTGAATTATTTGGCCTACACATTCAAAGTTACTATCTCCAGGTACACATCAAACATAGTAAAATAATTATTTGAATGCACTTGTAGCTTAGTTAGAAAGCCAGATAAACTATAATAGTTATATGACATTGTAATCTTTGTGCATGTTATTATCTTGTGTTCTTAACTGAATAATTAAAATAAACAAACTCAGTATATTACTATCAGCAACTGTATAAACTACTAGGGTTAAAACCTTGGAACATTGAATGCAATAAAGCACAAAACCCATATGTGAGTATAATATTCTTTTATTTTTATGTATATTTTTATCTATTGTTGAAAAGTAAAATAGTAAATATTGGAAACTTATTAGGTTAATTACAAAAAAATTAAAAACTAAATTAAATAAAAAAAATTCTCAGCCAAATATACATGAAAACTGCACATGCATTACATAATTAAATATTTTATTTACTGTAACTTAAGGAAGTGGTTGCCAGGTGATTTCTCATTCTATTATTTAGGTTTAGTACTTAGACACTGTTTAACTCTCTACATGGGTATCCTTTACATATCACAAGGTTTTTTCCGACTTACATTCAAAATTTAATTAAACTACTTTTTGTTTATATTGTACCAATTAGCATAGCATAAAACCATAGCTAATAATCCATATTTTAATAGTATATAAGTTTTAGTTCTTAATTCCCTCAACACAGGCTCTTTGTGACCTCTTTGTACTCGTTTAAAGTCTTTATAGATTTAATACTTCTAACTTTCAATCTAGTGTGTATATTTTCAGATAATTTGGCAGTCTTTCACAAATAAAAAATATCATATCTTTAGTGAAGTATATTATTTGTTTTGAATAGCCCATGTAAAAATTAATTTTCATGTTAAAATTAAAAATACTTTTCCTCATCTCAAAACAATCAAATTTCCTTTGTGTAATCCCTGAAAGCTCCTAAATGCATTTCAAACGGTTTTTTGTCAGTAAAACT